TGGGGCGGCCTTCGCACAACTGAAGTTCGGGGAATGGGGGGGGTTTATGGAAAATGAGGGGCGTTCTCCCGCGGTAGACCCCAAACCCACAGGCACATAGTCAAAGAAGGCGGCGGAAAGCCGATACCACGCTCCAGCACTCTGTCAGAGGTAGCTTGGAACAAAAATGAGGTTCTCAAGCTGACATGCAGCAATGGAAGATGAGGGATGATGTTGAACGCCAGGCCTTGAAAGCAGTGCTCTGTTGCTTGTTCTTGTAGCACCAGACTTCCAAACCTCCACCTTCCCTTCCCCCCACAAAAATTGTTCTACACTCCCCTGCTAGCTTTATTTTCCCCATCAGGCAGTTGTCTAAGAAACCATCCATTTTGCTAAACGTACATCTAGGCCTTCCATCCGTAGGACCAAAGTGAACAGCCCTACCACTACATTTTCCAGTATGTTTTCAGTGTCGATCCCACATTGCACAGCTGCAATTTGACTGAAGGACCAAGCTGGCACAATTGTTCTCCGCATTGGTTCTCCTGCCAGTTGTACTGGTGAGCAAGCACTTGGGCAAGTTTCAGGTCTCTTGGCAGCGTGCACTCCCCCATGGTGCCTTCATAGAAGAGGACAGCACACAAGCAACAGCGCGTCTTCTGGTCAGCAGTGCAATTTGGAAACAAGTCTCTTATTAAAGAGTTAAGCAAAACTATGGAACGCTAAAGGCATTAGGTAAGTGACACATCCAACTGGAACTGATGTTTAGCCAAGCACATAAAAAAACCCAAAACTATACAGGTTGATATTTACTACCTGCGAGACTTAAATGTTGAGGAGAAAAAGCAGCATGGCTACCCCCTGCAGGGTGACACAGCACGCTGATCTACTGCAACAGCTTGGCATAACACAGAACCACTTGCATACAGCATTGGCAAAACATTTCAACATGACCCAAATTCTGTTCTGCAGCTATAGAAAAATTTACAAAAACCCTTTCACTTTCCATATTTTAACTGGAGCTCAGGCCAGTCCAACAGAATTTGTTGGGCTGTTATTTTCTGAAGGGGGCACCGAGGGAGGAGATACACGTTCCATTTCCTCCAAGCCCTGTACAAACAGTAACGCTTCCAGGTCAGTTCTGGCAAGCTTTGAACAAAGGCTCCACTTGCCTTTCAGTACTCATACTCCCTCAAAACAGCAATTCTGTTCTCTAAGACACAAAATACATTGCACCTACTTATACTGTTTAATTTCTCCCTCAGGCTAACTCCCTGCTCAGGGATGCAGATCAGAGCATCCAAAGGTCCTCCTCTTGTTTCCTGAAGGAAAGTAGTAAAGTTTAAAATATGTACCTAAAAGTAGGAGACAAAGCAAGAAAAAAAAAACCACACCCAAAACCAACACCAGAACAAACTCAAGACAAACAGAATCTTAACCATTTTGTTTAATGTTGTACAAAAAAAAAATTGGTGAGTATTACAATGAAAAGTGATTAAAACACGGGTATCACATTGCCATCCCACTACCTAAACAGTTGAGGTTCACTTCTCTATTCATACAATAGAAAGTTTAGTGGCCTTCAGGAAAAGAATGACATAAAAAAAAAATCCTTGCGTCACACGTATTCTTTTCTCTACATTTTAAAGCTGTGCTCACAGAGACGGCTTCTTCTATCAGACTCTTCAGGTATACAGGAAATCAGTTGTAAATAAAGTTGAACCTAAAATTAAAAGGATTATACCAAGTGAGGAATTTTCATTCTTTTTGAGTGACATTTTGGAATGAATAAGTGAATGTTGTTTCTGCTCTTGATAAGCCTCTGTCCGACAGAACAAAAGTGTATTTTTAATAAGACAGCTTTACAGTATAGCAGGAACCATAATTTTTAATAGCCAATCCTACACTAGCATTGCACAACAGACCCTTAAGGTTGCAGAAGAACTAATTATTTACATTTCATCTCTTAAGAGAGCTCCATAGATATGAAAATACCAGCAAGAGTTATATTCCCCCATCAGCAATTCTTTCACAGCATTTCTGCCATCAAGGCCCACCTTATGTACACCAAGGGTAACACACAGACATGCTCAACCGTAGAGCTAATTCTTCTCCGCTAAGTTGCACACCAAACAGCATTCACACAGTGAAAGCATCCATCTCAACTTCCAGATGTCTGTCCTTTGGAAGCACCTGTTGCACTGGTACCACCCAGGCATTTGGCTGACTAACAGCCAGCAGTTTGCTGGTACCTGGGAGAAAGTTTCTGCTGTCTTCAGAGCAGGGAGAAGGGGAAGCCCCCACACCTACAACTGCCAAAATTGGGACGAGACAGAGGGGAAGAACCCAGCACGATACAAGCCTGTTACAGGCAATGCCAGCGCTGACATTCTGCTAACAGACTTTTTCAATCAAAGCAGGTAGGTGACAGAACTACTCCCCCGAGCACTAGCAGGCAGGCTGTGGGATGCCCGGCATTTCTGAACATGTGCTGAAGTAACTGAAACCAGCGAGACTAGCGAGCGCTGGAGACCCAAGGTACAAGCCATTTTCAGGTAAGAAAGCCAAAGAGTGTGTATAGTGGGGAAAAGGAAGGGAAAAAATCCAGCTGTCCTGACAGACACTTGTGCTATGAACATGCTACACGTTCTAAACTCTATGACAGAGTCTAAGAACACCCACCACACCTCATCTGTACAAAGCTGCGACAACATGCACACCTAAGCCATGCTTCAAACACATCTTGGCTTTTACTCTCGCGCTGTCCCTAACACTTACAAGAAGCTGCTCCTTAGCCTGTGCACAGCTTCATCCTCAGTGTCTTTCACATTTTCCTTTGCTACAACTGCTAGCTAGGCCTCTGGTGCTAGCGAGTTGTGACCAGTGCCCCTAAATTGTCCATTGCATCTCGTCTGGGGTAGATTCTAAGCTCTTTGGGATAGCTGCAACTTTTTCATGTTGGTTTCTGTAGCGCCTAGCCTTGCTGTGGTGTCCCACAGCAGATGTGTTCCCAAGAACTTTACAACAAAGAAATCACAAGATACCTGCTCAAAAGTTGAGGAAGGCTGGAAATAATGGGTCCATATCCTGGTGCATTGTCATACAGCTCAAACAACGGTGCAGCGACCAGCTTGTAATTTTTTGGGACTGCAAACAAAGCTAAAAACAAATTCAAGTTGATTAATAAAAAAAACCCACCACACATTCAGCCGAGATATCACTGCTCCCCACCCACCTCAAAACAAGATCATTACAGATAGCACTGTAGGACTAGAGTGGGTTTATTCTTTTTCTGGTTAAATATCGGGTTTATATGCTGATGCTGGAGCAGGAATGAGCATTTACTGGAACTCATATTCAAAGGATCACCTACCTTCAAAACTGATATCAGCATTTAACTCTTCTAGTGATCAACTATAAATGCAAGCATATGCACACAAACTTGCTACCACATTTCCTGACATGAAATGCAAGCATTTAGACATTGTTATAAATACAAATCTTTGTTGCAAATAAACACTCACCCTTTTCTTGAAGCTGGACCAAGAAAAGTTTTTTGTGCTCTTTTGGTTTTGTAATATGAGCTGGGATATAGGGATACTGGAAGAAAAACAGTAAAAACTGGCTGTACAGAGTTTTTAAAAATATTGTGCAATCTTAAGTGCTACTTCATAAATTACCTAGCACTGTGCAAGCTTTCAACATGTCATATATTGTTCTTTCATGGCATCAAACAACAAAAAACACTTTTATAAGACAGCACTCAGAAGGGAATGCTGTTGCTGTCACAACTGTTGACAGGATCTAAGGAGGCACCAATACTCATGAGCAGTTAAAACAACCCAGCAAGACAGAAATGCATAACAGCAAACTGAGCAATTATTTTCAGTATTAAAGCATTTAGAAATAGGGTAGCGAGACTATTTTATTCACAGGCAATCTGTTCCATATGCAGCAGTGAAAGAGTTTCCATTGTGGCTACAACAGGAATTTAAATGCGTGTCTGGCTCAGCACAGGACTGGAAGCTATTACATCCAGTGATTTCTCATCCATCAGGATCGGTGTGAGGAGGAGGATGGGAGTTTCCAGAAAAAAAAAAAAAAAGTTTGTAGTTTCTCCTCAGGCACAGAAAGGAGATGAAAAACTAATGGCCCAACTGGTAGGTTGAAGGCTTTTGGGAGAACAATCAACACTTGACTGAAGATGACAGAAGTCCACATGAGCACTCACCTGTGGAGGTTCAAAATTTGGTCTCCACCAGTTACCAATGCAGTCATCGATCACCCAGTCTTGCTGAACACCATCCTGACGGCCCAGTATCTACCAAAATCCAGTTACAGTCAAAACTCTAACTACCCAAGTAAATTTTTTTCAGAAAACATACACTAGCAGCATAAAGACTTGCTGTAATAAGGGTCTGATGTAGTTCAGAACTTCTCTGGAACAGCTTTTAGTAGAATTTTGAAGTATTTTTGTATAAAGTGACGGGTTTTAGTAAAAGCCCACTGGACAGGACAAGGACACTTGAGAGCATTTCAAATTCCATACTGTATTCAGCTGTACCGAGTCCCGTCAGACCAACGGGAAGAACGAAATGCTTTGTTACGCTACATGGCAGAATGGATTTTGGTTACTTGGAGAGCACGGAAAGTTAATTGGTGCACTGGGAAGACTATCTCAAAGGCAAGTCCTCATCAGTTGTGCTCCACAACATATTTTATCACCCATCTGCACACTCACTTGCCTGAAGCCAGCCAAAAAGCAAAGCTGCTAACGAACACAGGACTGGAGCACCAGGTCAGGGTCAGCCACTAGACCAGTGTGTCACACTCTCACCATGCAGATAAACAAAACCTTACTGCTTTACTTGGTAACTACGTGAGAACATCAGCAAAGCACCAAAACAACGGAAGCAGTAAGGAGACTACTCTAATGCTTTGGCTTATTCTGTTAACTCCAAAACAATCCAACATTCCGGTAGAGCAACATAACGAAAGAAAACAGACCTCTGTCATTAAGCGTTTGAGCCCTTCTACCTCGTCTTCTCCTGGATTGAGTTCACCACCAGGCCTGTTAAAATGATCAACGGTGAAAGCTAAAGTTATGTTTTAGTGCATTTACCAACTTTCACAGGTAGGTTTGGCTGTCCTTCCAGGCAGGCAGTTACAGACTCACTCAAGGCCCTTAAGTCAGAAGTTCCAAATCTAACTTTGCTGAAGTTGCAGACAGTAGGATAGCTTTCACCAAAACTGTGACTAAACTGGCTACTGTACGTCCCTTAAAAAAACAGCTATTTTATAAAATATTTTAATTTCAGCACAACAAATATACATGATAATAACTGGGATGTTTAAAAGGTAGTTTTAACAGTAATATAAAAGCACCAGAAGTTGAGGGAAGAGTTGTAAATACCAACCATATTTGTTCTTATCTCAAAAACAGCACTCACTGAAGCACACAGGAAGCAGAAAATAAAACTCATGTGGGGAACCATCCTGCATTTGATACAAGGTTAATGAAAAAAAACCTAAAACCACATTTTCATCATTACAGAGTTTTGCCAAACTTTTAGAGCCTATTTTGTTTGCAAACATCCCCTAAATCAAGACATTTAAAAAGAATCTGGATATAAAATTGAGAACAAACAATATAAATGTTAAAAACAGAAGAGCATGAACACAAGCAGGATAACTTGACATGAGTCAAGCCCATCCAGTTTAAAAAAAGAAAACGAGCATCACCACCATCACTACGACCATGCGATCCAAACACTAAAATGTCACTCTGGAAGTGGTAGCTATGAGATGAACTGAAGCAATTTAGATTTAGCTGCCTGCCTTCCTCGCTGTCCCCAGCTCACCCAGCAGTTTGTAAACAGGTATCATTCTGCATTTACTGAGGTTTATTCCTTGAGTTCCGCTTCACCATTTTTGCAGCCATAGCATAAGCATGTTTAAGCATAATAATGCAAGTATGACACCCTAACTACTGATAGCGAGCTTTGAACAGGATTTTACCTTAGTGATGCACTGTAACTAAGGTTTCCAGCCAGTTCCAAACTGTCACCCCGCTCACGAGCAGAGTCAAATACACTTTAGATGAAAACCTCACCATTCAAAAAAGTTTTCCCAGACTAAGTCTTTGCAATTTAATGAACCACATTCAAAACATCTATCAGTTAACCACACTTTAACCACCAGCCCACATTTAGTGGTCTGTGACAATAAATTTGAACTAAAAATTACACTCAAGAAACAGACACTTACAGCTTGAAGAAAGTTGTACCCAGCTGCAGTAACAGCACGTGGGGCAGCCTGTGCTCATGTACAATCAGAACCCCTTCCACCGTCCGCCTCATGCCAATCTTGTCAAACTCTTCCCTCATGCGCTGAAACCGAGCTGCCACGGAGCTGTCCTTCTCATACAGGGGCTCCTTTGTGCCAAATGTGTAATTCGTCAGGGGATACCTATAAGGGGGGGAGAGGAAATATTACTGCATAATAAGAAATCTAAATTTAAATCACTGTCACACAGCACCTACCCTAAGGCAGAACCTTCTGTCCTTGATGGAACTGTAACTAGCTCAGAGCACTGGGCTGGAGCTCTCGTTTGGGACTCAGGGGGCCCGTCACAGGAAGAGCTGAGCTACCATACCTACAAGCACAGACCTCCTGCAGATTGACACACTAGGGTGGTGTTGATTCAAAAGAAGGAAAGAAGCCCAGAACCAGCAGCAACTGTTATTCAACAGCCACCCTTCTTTGATCCCCACACCACAGAGAAAAGGCAGGCGAGTCTCCAAGAGGAGCCAGGAAAGGGACAGGGGAGAAAAGCTCTGTTAGGAAGGAAGCTGCACAGGAAGCAGGGTTTTTCTGAAGAAGTACTGAAGAGCCTGAGAACTAAACTGTTAGAAGTGGTTTTGAAGTGGGAAGTCAGACATCTGGGTCACAGAAGAGAAGAAATGCTGAGTGTGTAAGTGCAGGGCCAGGAGCCTGGAGTAAGCTTAAGAGTCTGAGCAGATCACTCTGTTGGGTTAGGTGCTAGACCTCTGCGTTCTCTTGTGACAGTACAGCAGAAACTCGAGAGATTTCTCCAGGAAAGAGGGACTGAAAAGAGGCAGAAGAGAAAGGAAAGGTTGGGCAAGAAATCAGTCAGCCCTAGAGAGCACAAAGGGCAACAGGAGAACGTTGCTGTACCACAAAATCCAAGTATCACGGAGATCTGACAGCACGAGGCCTGGAGGCCTGGCCTGGAGACCCTGATTATCTGTCTAAGTCAAAAAGGCAGAGGAAAACAGGTTCTGGGCAGAGCAGTAATGAGTTATCACCACAGTTTTATTGACTTGTGGCACACAGCAACTGAATTAACAGAGGAAATGACTGATTTCACGGAGAATGTTTTCCTTGAGATGCATCTTGTTGTGTATTCTTGCCCCAATACTTAATCACATCAAACTTAAGTAGCACACACTCTTCTCCCCCTCAAATTTCCCCTCCCACCAAATTTTCCTCATGTCTTACAGTGGCAAAATCACAAGCCAGTTGCAGTTGTTGAAGCCCTTTCTCATAGACACAAGCGAGCCAAAACAACCAATTTCCTAGCTGCAGCTTCATTTATTAGCAAGCTCCCCCACTTCCACTTATGGCTTAGAACACTCTATATTTCTTTTTCCATTAATTTCCATTTTTAGATACACAGATAGCTTTATATTCATGATCTACTATGCTAACCCATACTATGCTCATGTGGGTACATCAGTCTGTACATCAAAACCCTTAGGCTATATGTTAAAAGAAAATTATGGTGGTAGCACAGCTTCC